ACAATGGAAAATCCGTCCAAGTTCTCCAGGCTCCCAGTCAAGTGTTCCAGTCATGAGACAACCCTTTCACTTCCCCTTAATAGCTGCCTGAGATGGTTACTTAAATTTTCTTGACAGTATTTGCTCATGAAGAAGGAATGACGTATTATCCTTTTGGGATGCTCATTGCAGAGATATTTCCTTCCAATTAAGCAAATAAAAAAGGAAACCAGTGCCTCATTCCTCCCCTCTCAGATATGTTGGATTCCATTGCTATATATTTTAGCATGCTGACTGATTTAATGAGCTATAGCAATTAGAGTCAGGTGGGAGAGGGCAGTAGCTGTCTATCTCTGGATACCCAGATTCAAATCCTGTTTTACTAGGATGCAGATGAAAATGAGGTCAGTGGTCTCATTTAGACACATCACACAATCTGTCATTTTGATTTTGTGCTCATGAGACTTGGGACTAAAAAAAGAGGGGGTGTCTGTTAAAATGCACTAGCCTACAGTCGTTCATTTAAAATCTCCTGTTTCTTTAAAATTAATCCCAGCAAATTATCCATGGCTGATCTATGTAGCTGTGTGTTCCCACTGCTGTTACTCTCATCTCTCCTCCTTGAGCCCATCCATTGCCTGCTACACCCAGCTCTTATGCATTGTTTTAATCTAGATTGCAAAATCATTAGGGCAGGGATTTACATATGCTATGGGCCAGACACCCTGGTCTCTGCCGTTCCCTTTATACCAGGATGGTGTAGAGCTGATGTGGGGGAGGGGGAGGGCAGGAGGGAGGAGTGACAGGAGCATGATGCTCTCCAGCAATGCTCAGCTGCTGAATAGGGCCTTAGGGACCACTGCTAGTGCAACTTAGAGTAGCCTGAGGGAGTATTAAGTGGCTGTGACCCATTACTCTGTTGTGCACAGCTGCAGAGAATCGTCTCCTATATATTTTCACAGCATCCAGTACAATGGACCCCATTCTTGACTGGGACCTCTGGGCACAACAGTAATACAAATAATATTAACAACAACTTTGGAAAGAATCTTGAACAACTTTTAATTTCCAGTGGACAGATGTCCACAGCACACACAAAAAAAAGAAAAAGCGCACCGTAAGTGGCAGTGATTGGCTGCCTCCACAGAGAGGCCAGCAAATGAATGGATCATGGAAAATAAATCATCCCCTCAACCTCCATTGGCAGAGCAGTATCGGTAAGCTAACTATGCGTGCTGTACCTGCTCACTGGATAAATGGAGATATTCAGGCTGCACTGTCTTGTCTCCACTGGAAAATTTGGTACCCAGTTTCCAACAACTGCATTTTAGCCTGCAGTAGTGTGAGGAGCAGTCTGGACAGGGTTCAGGTGTTCATAGCATCATGTAATGAAAACTTTTGCAGGCCTAGCTCCCTTCTTCTGCTCTTGGTCTGAGTAATTGACAGCTCTTTTAAAATATTATTTATTTGCTAAACACCAGCAACATCCTTGGCTCTAAAAGACACACACAACGACAGCCCTTGCCTGAAACAGCTTAGGCATAACATTTGAATTAATTTCCTATTTAAATTAAGATTTATCCAAATATCACCAGATAAATCTCACCTAAGGGAACAGAAGCTGCAGTACGGGACAATTTGTCTGCAGATTGTGCTGTAACAACATTCAATAATGAGCCAGACAATAATACCTGGACTTCATACATAAAGATGACAGAGACAGCTTATAACTGTTGAAACAATATCCTCATTAGCAGATGAATAATGATAAAATATTTATTTTTTCTTCCCCAATATTGTTTTCCCAATAAACTGGCTTAATCCTTGAGCAGTCTATAGTGTCTGCCATATCTCTGTTTGTGTGCAAGAGTCCTCTGGGGTATTCCCTTTATTTTGTTGAATGGGGAGTTCCTGTTTGTGAAAGCCCGATAACATTTTTCTTCATGTGCTGGGCGTATAAATCATGCTGGTTAGATAAATGGGTGGGAGTAAGTCCACCCACCTTGAGAAGGAAGGAACCTTGATATTGTTCTGTTGATCCCTGGATTCATCTCTCTCTCTCCCAAAAGATGCATGTTGTTCAGTTTAGGGAACCAGGTCATGAATGATTTATGCATATGTTTAAGCGTGTTCTCCCCAAATTAGGGCTCTCTTCCACAGCGTGAAGGGAAAACTGATCTAGCACTGCCACATACTGGACATGTAGTAAAAAGAAATCAAAACTGAATTTTTCTTTATGCCAAGTGGAAGAGGGAGGGCTATCTAAATAATCTGCTTTAGAATCAGAGGATGGGTCTATGGTGCTAAGAACAGAGGTGTTTATGGGGACCGTCAGGTAGAAGAATATCAGTAGGTGAATTGGTTGCTCAACTTTAGCCCTGGTTTATGCTTGCTTTCCTGGTGAGAACCCTGAAAGAGGGCCCCTAGGCAGAAAGCCCTCCAGAGCTTTGTTCAGCTGGTTTCAGTCATCGTCCTTGTGCTCTTCTGTGTGCAAGTGTAATTCACTGATTGGCATATGTTACGTGTCCGCTTCTCTCCCAGATCCACAGAGTCAGATAAAGCCCATGCTACAGAAGGGGGCTCTGGAACTCAAGCAGTGGAGACTCATGCTTTTAGCTTTGGAGGTTCCCCTGTTCAATCCCCAGTGTTGGCCAAGGTGGATATCACACAAAAGCAACAGCTCAGTTCAAGTCTGGGCACTAGATTGCTCAGGTTGGACAACGTGAGTGGAGGGGCCTAGCAATGGCCTCACTTCCTCTGCTGATAGATCAGCAATGCTGGGGCAAGCACACACTGACTCCTTTTCATGGGGGTACACTGGCTGTGCTACTCCAAGGCTTCTGGAGGTAGGCAGCTAAATACCTTGAGGATCTGGGCCATTGTGCCTGGCTCAGGCACCATGCAAGCTTCCTTTAGCATTGGCTGGGCTGGTGTGCCTCCATACTGCCCCCTACTGCAAGACTGCGCCTTAATGCCATACCTGAGTCTCATATGTATTGCTTAGATCCTTTCAAATGTTAATACTATGCTCCGATACATCCCCAACCACCTGGTGTGGGGTAGGCAAGTGGCGAACTGAGACTTTTTATGCTCTGCAGTGTTGTTGTCGCCATGTTAGTCCCAGGACATTAGAGACAAGATGGGCGAGGTAATATCTTTTATTGGACCACCTTCTGTTAGTGAGAGAGACAGCTTTCAAGCTACACAGAGCTCTTCCGCAAGCCTGGGAAAGGTACTTAGGCTCTGTCTACACTTACAACGCAGCTGCGTAGCTGCAGCGCGTCTGGTGAAGACGCTCTACGCTGACAGGAGAGAGCTCTCTTGTCGGCATAATAAAACCACCTCTGCGAGCAGCAGAATCTATGTTGGCAGGACAAACTATCCCGCTGACATAGCACCGTGCATACGAGCGATTATGTTGGTGTAATTTATGTCACTCCGGGGATGGAATATTCACACCCCTGAGTGAGAAGTTTTCCCAACATAGGCGGTAGTGTAGACATAGCTTAAGAGTATCACAGCTAAATACAAGATGGAACAGATAGTTTAGCATAAGTAGTTAGCACATATTGTAAGGTACCATTCAAGGTGAAGTGGCCCATTAGCACCCTTGTAGTCATAGGACAAAAAGAAGACTTAGTGAGGCTGTCTACACTACAGCCTATATTGGCAAAACATACTCGTTCAGGAGTGTGAAAATTCCACCCTCCTGAGCGACATAAGTTACTCCAACATAAGCGCTCATATACACAGCGCTATGTCTTCTGCCGTTTGTGAAGGTGGTTTTATTATGCCGATGGGAGAGCCTTGCAGACGTGCTACAGTGGCACAGCTGTGTCAGTACAGCTGCGCCGCTGCTGCGCTGCACATACGGACATGGCTTGAGTTACAGATTGTTGTAATAAGCCACAAATCCGATGTCTTTATTAAGACCATGATTTTTAGTGTCTAGCTTATGAATTTGATCTCCCAGGCTCAAAGGAAAGCTGCACAACACCTTCAAAGGGCAAGCCTGGGAGATTAAATTCATAACTTTACTAGACACTAAAGATCATGGTCTTAATAAAGACACTGGATTTATGGCTTATTACAACAGTCTGTAACCCACTAACTCACCTTTTTGTCCTATGACTACAGGGATTTTAATGGCCTACTTCACCTTGAATGGTCCCTTAGAATATGTGTTAACTACTTATACTAACCTATCTGTTTGAGCTTGTATCTAGCTGTGACCCTCTCCTTTCCCAGACTGGAGGAAGAGCTCGGTGTAACTCAAAAGTTTGTCTCTCTCAGCAACAGAAGTTGGTCCAATAAAAGATAGGTTTCAGAGTAGCAGCCGTGTTAGTCTGTATCCGCAAAAAGAACAGAAGTACTTGTGGCACCTTAGAGACTAACAAATTTATTAGATATTACCTCACCCACAATATCTCGCTTTTTATGCTAACCTCTATCAATTTTATTATTACCTCAACCTCTCAAATCCCTCCATTCCTGCTTTATCTCGTTGGTTCACCTGTTACATCATGTCTGATATTTCTCTGGGTCAGTGACTGTCTTTATTGTTACGTTGTTTGTATAGAGCCGAGCACATTGGGGTCCTGGTCCTTGATTGGGGTAAATAATCAGAATGGTAATTAAAATACAGAATAATATTAATAACATGGCCAGATTTTATAGCAGCAAGAAAAAGATGTAGCAAATTTCTTCCAAAGTTTTGCCTTTTCCCTGATTCCAATTTCTTTCAAAAGTCTGATTTCTCAGAGACTTTTTAAAATATTTATTAACAAATTTTTATACATTAAAAATCAGTTGTGAAAGTGAATATAATCCAATTGAAAACCAAAAAAAAAAAGAATCATGTTCGAGGATAACAAAACTTGTATTATGACTGCAGAAAGATATGCTGTCCGCTGCAGTTATCTCACCAGCAACCTCCATGGTGGTTGCGTATATTTATAACAGACACCAATGAGTCATATGTAAACATTTTGATTATAAAGATTTTCTTCATTTTCCCACAGACTTGCTGCTTTCAAACAGCTGTATCCCATTCCTGGGCTCAGCGGAGGGGTTTGATTTTCGGACCCTGCTGCTAGATGAGGAGAGGGGCCGGCTGCTAATCGGAGCTAAAGACCACATCTTTCTGCTCAGCTTGGTTGATTTAAACAAAAATGTAAAAAAGGTCAGTTTGTTTTCTACGCAGTTCATCTGATAAGTTTGTTTTCAGCCCCTTTCCCGGCCTTGTGTTTTGGTTTTTGTTTTTTCTGTCTTCACTGGCTAAATGGCAAATTCACTATGTGATGCGTCCTCGTAACAGGACTTAATAATCTCACCTCCCATTGTTAAATGGTTTGCTTTTAATCATCTGAGGTGATCAGTGTGTGTGATCCCTTGTAGCAATAAAGGAATGTAATAGGTCAGATACCTAGAGGGGCTGTGCACTTCATGAAACCATAATATCAACAATAGGCAAGGACACCTCTCAAAGTATTTGTTTCTTCTTTCCTCTAGCCTAATGGAGACATTTGCAAGAAAAAAACAAAAAACAAAAAAAAAACAGTGAGGTCAGTTCTGTCCTTGCTTACTGATTTAATTGGGGTTATGGGTCTAACTAAAAGTAGAATATGGCCCATTAGTATGTAGTCTGCTGTGTTTTAAATGGCACTCAACATTTTGAAGGCAATTTAAATATTCTTAACTGTATTAATAATCAGAATTATTTGGGTTATAAGGGACCTCTATTGGGCTATATATATTGGGGGATAGCCCAGGCCTCTACCCTGGGTACAATTAATTTTGTAACTTCTAGACCATATCTAAGAGAAGGATGTCAGTTTAACCTCCAATATTTCCAGTGGGGATGATGATTTGATGCTTTTTGCACACACCTTTGGCCTCTAGAGTATAAAAAATAGGTGCTAACACAAAAACTCTAACTAAAACTGCTTTTTGATTGTCACATGTATGTTTCTGATTGAAGAAAGTTAAATCCTCAGCTGTATTTTATATTTTCTTTAAATATAACAGGAGGTTTTAAAAGGTAAATTCTGCTGTGGGCTATACCAGTATAACTCAATCTGGAGTAACTTGACTGAAGCCAATGGAGTTAATAGGTGTAACAGAGGAGAGGTTGGGCCCATCTGTTTGAAGGAAAAACATGAGAGCATTGTAGAAAAGAGTTTCCAATAACAAACTTCACAATCTGAATAGCTATTTCTTATTCTTTTATTCATATTTCCTTGTATGCTTTTCCGAATGATCATTTTCAGTCTTAGAACTCAATAGTATAGTCAGAACTGTGACAATGTAAAAATGGCCCCCACCCGTCTCTTAGGGATAGTTAGAGATAACAGAATTATTCCTACCGCAGGCTTTCTTATCCCAGGTTTTGGCAACTGGGCAGTGGAAGAGAGGGAAAATCACTTGTAAGGGAGGCAGATTTGTTTCTACAAATCCTTACTTTAGCTAAACTCCCATTGATTTCAGTGGGAGTTTTGCTGCTATAAGCATTCAGGCTGAAGTTACTGAGACAATTACCATGGAAGCACATACTGCTGTTTCTGCAGATGTGCTTTCCAGAGTATAAACTCACTTTACAATGGAACTCAAATTTACTTGTGATAAATCAAAATCAATAAGTGAATAACTGACCGATACTGTGATAATTTGAAATATGTAACTAAATAAAATGTGCAAATTTTAGTAGATTCTGACTTCAAAGGAGGCTATGTGTGTAGATGTACCCCAGGATCAAACTCAGTTTTCACTCATAATTTTGCTATGCAGTTTCCTTTAACTGTCTTGAGTTTTATCACAAGACAGCCACACAAGGTATATTTCAGCAGCTAAATAAGTAACCAAAGGTGCTGAGAACCTACTTATCCCATTAATTTAAATGGGAGGGGGCAGCACTTTTCTATACTGGACCTTTTATTTAAATGCCTAAGTATGGATTTCAATGCCTAATTTTAGGCACTCAAGTCAGGGCCGGCTCCAGGCACCAGCCCACCAAGCGTGTGCTAGGGGCGGCACCTGGAGGGGAGCGGCGCAGCGGGGCGCTCTGGCCCGAGAGCGGGGCCCCGGCCGGGCTCGCCGCCGGGCCCCGGCCAGGCTCGCCGCCCTCCCCCCAGCGCTCCGGCTGGTCGGGGAGAGTGGAGAGCCGTGGCCGGGCTCGCCGCCCTCCCCCCGGCGCTCTGGCCGCTGGGGGCTCTCCGCCCTCCCCCCGGTGCTCTGGCTGCCGGTGAGAGCGGAGAGCCCCGGCCAGGCTCGCTGCCCTCCTCCCGGCGCTCTTGCCGCCGGGGGCTCGTGGCCCTCCCCCCGGCGCTCTGGCCGCCGGGGGCTCTCCACCCTCCCCCCGGTGCTCCGGCTGGTCGGGGCCTGCGGGCCTGCGGCCGGGCTCGGCAGCCTCCCCTGCCGCGATGGGGGGAGGGGGGGGGGCGCGGCCGGTGGCTTTTTTGCCTAGGGCGGCAAAAAAGCCAGAGCCGGCCCTGACTCAAGTTAGACAATATTGGTATCTATGTATCAGTCTGTCTGTCTTATCTGTTTAGTGCTGGCATCCATAACCATAATATACTTCAGGGGTAGGCAACCTATGGCACATGTGCCGAAGGCGGCACGCAAGCTGATTTTCAGTGGCACTCACACTGCCCGGGTCCTGGCCACTGGTCCGGGGGGGCTCTGCATTTTAATTTAATTTTAAATGAAGCTTCTTAAACATTTTAAAAACCTTATTTACTTTACATACAACAATAGTTTAGTTATATATTAAAGACTTATAGAAAGAGGCCTTCTAAAAACGTTAAAATGTATTACTGGCAAGCGGAACCTTAAATTAGAGTGAATAAATGAAGACTCGGCACACCACTTCTGAAAGGTTGTCGACCCCTCATATACTTACACAATGATGGGGGAGAGAGATTTCATGAACATCGTAGCCTAAGGGTACTCTCCAGTACCAAATGCCAAAGGGTACTCTCCAGTAGCAAATAAGTGTCAGAATGTAGTGTTTGTCTGTGCTGTGTTTAGACTGACTGTGGTTTTGATTGGCTCTGTGCCACTCGGCTCAGCTCCAGCCTTTCCCTGTGTGAGGAAACCACACATGTTGGGACTACCAGCGTCTGAAGTGTGTCCTTTGTACTCTTTGGACTATATAAGTCTAGGGTGTATTGTGCTATAGGTGTCTATTAGGGATAGAAGCAACACATTAGGATATTAAATTTCTTCCTGCAAATGGTACAGTTACAAATGACTTTGCAGAAGGATGAGGCAAGAATACTGTGCTTAGAGGTTTGAGACGGGCACAAGAGGTTTGCAATCAGAATGAAAGTTTGTGTAACTAAGGCACAGGTTTTCATTCTTCAGGAAAAAAAAAAGAGCATGAACAATGTTTGAATTTTATAAAGCTAGTGAATCTAGAGATGTGCATCTAGATCTAGAGAGTAACAGGTTGTTACTCAGTTTTGGGGGATTCAGAGGAACAGTTATAATCCTGAATATCTAACTCTGAATATCCCCCTATTTACACTTAGAATCAGGGCCGGCTCCAGGGTTTTTGCTGCCCCAAGCAGCCCAAAAAAAAAAAAAAAAAGCCGTGATCGCGATTGCGATCTGAGGCGGCAATTCGGCGGGAGGTCCTTTGCTCCGAGCGGGAGTAAGGGACCATCCGCCGAATTGCGGCCGAATAGCTGGACGTGCCGCCCCTCTCCGGCCTGGCCGCCTCAAGCACCTGCTTGACAAGCTGGTGCCTGGAGCCGGCCCTGCTTAGAATGCTACTTTCTATATAATCACTTGCCAAAATTACATTGTAGAGTCTGTTCAGATAAGTTACAGTATTTCTGGAAAAGCCTCAAAAGCAGGGGGCCCTTCCCCCTTTTTTAAAAAAATACCTTTTTACAACTTTCTGTTACAGCATAGTTAGTTACATATGTTGGCAAGAGACAGAGCAGCTACTCACTGTGAAATTCTTGATGAGGAGTATTATTTTAATACTTTTTAAAAAAAAAATATAGATTCTGTATTCTGTCATATCACAGTTTCATCAGCAATTAACATTTTTTTCCTTTTCTTCAAGAACATGGTTTCTTTAATTGTTGTAGCTTTTAATCAGCTTATTCTAGGTAATTGTGGAGGTGATTGACAACTCCCATCTATTACTGTGTTAATTGTGGTATGGTTGAAAAACCACCCCCTTTTCAGCACAGTACATGCAGTCACGATCCTCCTCTAGAATTTAAAAGGAATGAATACCATTAAAATTATAGATCAATTAATTTAGGATTTTGTAGATATTACTGTAGAAATCTATAGCACTTAATAGAGTAGGATCAGCTTTCTATAGCAGGGCTAGAATTTTCTGTGAAATTACATTGGACCTACAAACCTCAAGAGGGTTTTCTGTTAAATTCCATAGGGCTTTTCCATAAGAGAGCTCATTGGCATATGCCCTAATGTCTTCATCCAAAGAGCTTAAGACACTTGACAAATATTACAAACTGCTTATAAAGAAGAGACCCAGTGACTGTCTTCAAACAAATTATAACTGCAAAATCAGCATAGAAGTAGACAGAAAAGAGCACTAGTGGATGTTTGTTACAGCATGTCACTCCTAGATGGTATACTTGAAGAATAGTAGGTTGTAACCAATAGAGGGTGTAGTTTAAAAGGAAGGCATTGGAAAGGATTTTGAAGAGAGCATGCTCCTCAGAATGATGAAGAGGTGAAAAGGAGTTTTGATAGGCATCCGGCTGGCTGAGTTCCCGCTGAAATGATTACTTCTATACTGATGGGATTCATTTCATTTACTGTATTGTTAGAGCACCTAGAGCCTTGGCTTATTATTTTAAATTTAAATAAACGTATAAATAAAGTAAATAACTTCAGTCAACTGTACAAATGTTGGTGAAAAGGCTGCACAGGAATTCCCATATTCCTCTGCATCTTATGTACTTACAGCCCTCAGCAGTGTAAGCAGGGTTACATGTTAATGTGGTTATCACTGTCCGATCTACAGTGAGACCCACCCTTCTCTGCAGCAGTAGGAATGCTATCAAGAGCTGACAAACTCCTGAAAAGCTGCCAACCTACAGGAGCTGTCAGCGGTAGAAAACACATCCACATATGGGCCAAACAGATAAACATGTCACATCCCCACTCTCTTCTTTGGAAGGAGTTATTTTGACCTGC